GAAGAGGCTATCGAAATTGAGAGGATAAAACGATTTCTAGAAGCTGATCATGATAATGACATCATGAATAACGCTGAGAACAACTTATGGATCGATCAGGAAGACATCATCGGTGAAGACATCATCGGTGAAGACACCACGTTAGTACACCAGATAGGTGGAGGCGCAGAAGATTCTTCTATGTTACCTGGAGGTAGAGTTAAAATCGTAGAGCAGTCAACGAGACACGTTCAAAGATTTAGACTCGACGGAACGTGTACAACATTTAAAATTCAGGCTCCTGAAAAAGATGTAAATCCTATGAGCTGATTGAGAGAAGCTTTTGTGGATCTACACAGACATATGATAGAAAATCAGGGTGAACCTTCAGATCTTGTAGGAATAACGTTTAATTCTCCAGGATTTTCCTAAAACCGAGCAGCAGGCCTTTCATTTCGTCCTGCGCAAGATTGTAATTTCGAGCATCTCTGGTCGCTCGTAGAAAAAGTTGCTCAAAGTGGTCACGATGTTGCCATCGATGAGTCCTTCATGATAACAGTTCAAAGAGTTCAAATGATTACTGGTAAGGGCCGAGTAACTGTGGACTCCTACGAGCGTTTCACTTTGAGTAAAAAGTCTATTGTTATAATTACCAATAATGATAATTTATGTCTACCTCGAGCTCTGGTTGTAGCCTTAGCGCATTATAAGCGTAGTGATAGTCGTGCAGGATTGTTTCATAATGAATTTCGTAGACTAGCTCATTCCAGACTAAATAACAAATTACAACTTGAAGCTGCGCGGAAATTGATGACAGAGGCCGGAGTAGAAATACCTCCCAAAAATCGAGGTATGGGGCTGAGAGAACTTGCGATTTTTCAAAAATTCTTTAATCCTCAAGGCTTAGCAATAGAGGTCTACGAATCTAAAGAACTGGGTGGTCGTAAATTGAAACCCGTATATGACGGTCGTAGTGAAGTTTTAAAGCACGGTGCGGATCTGTCGGGTACCATGCGTTTGATCCTTAACGAAAATCATTTTGACGTAATACTGAACATGACCGGCGCTACCGCGATGAAAAAATTTTGTTACGCCTGTCGGGCCACTTA